AGCCTTAACAAGGTGGATGTGGAAAGGATGCTTCCTGTTCTGAGTGAATCCAGAGCTAGGGGACCTTGTTTTAAAATTAAGAGGTACCCTTTCAGGACAGTGATTTTTTCAGAGGTTTTGTAACTTTGGAACTGTCTGCCTCAGAAAGCAGAACTATCGAGTATTTTTAGTGCAGAGGTCAATTCTTGTTAGACAATGGAATCAGGTGGATTGGAATGTGGAATTTGAAACACAAACAGATCAATTATGTTCTTATTGAATGGTGGAGCAGGCTCGAGAGACTGACTGGCCTAATTCATATGTTCACATGTATGTATTATTTTTATGAAGAATGTCACAAAAATGGCTATTTGGATGAAGGTAAGTGGAAGGGGAAGAGCCTCAGCCATGGTGGAGGGCACCAAGATTGAAAAGATACAGTTGAAAATAAACTGTGTTATAATTTTTTAAAGAAATGTTATTTCAGGATTAAATTTTGGGTGAATGCTGGAACTTGAGCAGCAAATTTTAAAAATCCAGATGCAAGTGAAAATAAAGGATAATGGATCAGATTATTTTCGCATGAGAAGGAAGAGAAATCCAGTAACCTGAAGCATTTCACAATTGGACTATGTTGAGTAATGTGATTTATTCAGTCTGTCAGACAGAGATTAAGAAACAGTGAAGCTGCAAGCCAGGGAATTTGACTGTGTGTTGAAGGGCACAAATAAGACCTGACATCAAATTTGGAAGGAAATTGAAAATTGTTTATAGATATAACAGCTGATAATTTGCCCAGTAACCTGTATTTTAGGTACAGATCAGTTGATTTTCACAAGAACTTCAATGTCCAAAGTCCATAAGCTTGAAGAGTAGTTACGTGAACATTTAAACTGGAACATCTTATCCATTTTCCAAGATTAGAAGGTAGAAATATTTGTAGCTGATGTCAATTCCAGATATTTTTGATATATGTTTGTTGCATTATTTATGGTATCTGTTAAGAAGACAAACAAAACTAAGGTCACTGAGAACATCAAAATCTCTACACAGGCTGTGCGTCATACAAAAGTTAACGCTTATTTTTCTGAAGAAGGGTCTCGACCTGAAACGTCAGCTTTCCTGCTCCTCTGATGCTGCTTGGCCTGCTGTGTTCATCCAGCTCTACACCTTGTTATCTCGCTTATTTTTCTGTACCATCTTTCATGACTTAAGGGCATCCCAAAGTGCATTAAAGTAAATGAATTTTTTTGAAGTGAGCTATGTAATAATATAGGAAATATGGCATGCTAAGGTCGCACAGGCAATAGCACAAGGAACTAGTCTTTTTTTTAACTCCACTTGTTTGAAGGATTAATTTCTTTGTCTTTGATGGAATGTGAGCATCCCCATGCTAAGTTGTCCCTGAGATGATGGTGACGAGACACCTCTTGAATTTCTGTAGTCTGTGCATTGCAGGTGCACTCACAAGCTTTTAGATGAGGAGTACCTGGTTCACCAAGACACCAAGAGCATTTCTGCAGCTCTGAAGACTGGTGGAACTTTCTGACTGAGAGCCTAGGGTGCTTCCAATCGAGGCATGTTTAACACCTTAATAATATGTTGAGTATGAATTGTGATTTGCACACTGGGTTTTTCTCGGGCTGATGTTTTCTTCTCCTGTCAAGAATTTTGAATAAATGGAGAAATTTGAACCTTTATCCATAGCCAAAGACAACTCCTGGCTGCAGAACTTAGAATTGAATTTTGGATGGCAAATTATATTCTGCCCACTTAAAGGGACAGTATAAATATGAGTAGGTAACTTTAGGTGGAAAGGAAAAGGAATAAATACGTGCTAAATAAAGTTAAAATATATACTTCCAAGGCGTATACCTTTGTTTGTATGTCTGGGTATATGACTTTGAAGTCTAGATTTGTTTTTCCCTTGATGAAATTCTGGTTCATAAATACATTGTCACCCCATTATTGTAACTGTGTAAACCAACATTTACTTTGTAGCTTAGTGGATAAAAGTATCTCAAAGACCTTCACAGCAATATAATCAAAGAACCAGATATCAAGCCTAAGAGACCATACATTTAAATGAATTAGGAGCAGCAATAGGCCATTCAGCCCCTCAAACCTGCTCCACCATTCAGTAAGGTTATTACAGTCCTGATTGTGACCTCAAATCTGCATTCCTACTTACCCCAGATAAACATTCTCCTCCACGCTTAACAAAAATTTATGCACCTCGGCCTTAAAAATATACAAGGACTGGGTTTCAGCACCTTTTCAGGAAGGAAGTCCCAAAGTCTCATGACCCTCTGAGAGAAAAAAGAAGCCTAAATTGTTATAAAGGGTGACCTCTGATTTTTAAACTGTGACCTTTTGTTTTTAGTTCTTTATACCTTTAGTTCTAGATTATTCCATTAGCGGAACATTCTCTTCACACCTACCCTGTGAAACCCCTCAGGATGTTATATGTTTCAAAAAATGTTGCATCTTAGTCTTCTAAACTCCAGTGGATACAAGCCTAGCCAACCTTTTCTCATTTGATAACCTTCTTATTCTAGATATATATTAGTAAACCTTTCTCAACTGCCTCCAGTGCATTTACATCCTATTTTAAATAAGATGACAAATACTGCACACAGCATTTCAGATGCAGTCTGACAGTGTCCTGTATAAATGAAGCATAATCTCCCTAATTCGTAAGTCAATTCCCTTCATGACAGATGACAGTACTATATTTAACATTCTAATTATTTTCTGTACCTGCATACGAACCTTTTGCGTTTCTTGCAAAAGGCCACTCAGACCAGTCTGCATCTCAGAACTCTACAATCTCTCATCGCTCAGATAATATGCTTCTTATCTATTCTTCCTGCCAAAATGGACAATTTCAAATCTCCCATATCATACTTCATTAGTCACTTACTTTCCTACCTTTGTATTTATTGTGTGCATTCTGAAATATTCTCTTAAATGTCAGTCACTGCATCCCTGTTGACCTGTTCTCTAACCTAATTTACCGATTCACTTCTGCTCTGTTTCCATGCCCTTATAATTACCTTTACTTAAATTTAAAAAGTCGTCTTGTACCCCTCCTCATTCCCTCAAACTATATGCTGCTAATATGCTGTTCTCAAAAACGGTGCTTAAGATATTGCATAAACTCCTCATCGAGGCTACCTTTGCGCATCTGACCTGTTCAGTCTTTCTGTGTTTCTTCCTTTATGTTCCATCTTACTAGTGACTTCATGCCTTTATCATTCTTCTTCTCTACCCAAGCTATTTCAATACCTTTGTTTCCTGAACTTAGGTCATCCTTCCATATTGTACTAATGCCATCATTAATTGATAGAGCTGACTCTCTCCTTTTCCTAGTCTTCCATCATTCCTAAATATCCTGCAAGTTTCAAGATTCAGGTCCCAATCCATGTGATCCTGCAGCCATGCTTCTGTAATGGCTACCAGGTAGGACTTATTCACTACAATTTGTGTTCTCGGTCCATTTGCTTCTTTCAAATACTGTGTGCATTCAGATACAAAGCCTTTGGTTTTATCCTTTTACAATTCTTTTTTAAAAAAATTCTAACCTTTTCTGTTGATTGGCTCTTAGATTTGTTCTCTGTTTCCCTCCTGTAACAAAAGTAGAGATTGCTGGAAAAGCTCAGCAGGTCTGGCAGCATGGACAGCAATCAGAGTTAACATTTAGGGTCAAGTGACCCTTCCTTTGATTCTGATTTACAGCATCCGCAGTTCTTTCAATTTCTGTCCTGTAACAGTTTGATTTAATTTCTTGTATTGATACATTTCTCTTTGGCCTTGACACTACTCTTTGATTTATTACAGCTTTCCAAATTTGATCCTTTACCCCCACTATTTAGTTTAAAATCCTTTCTACTTCCCTAGCTATGCCATCAGCAACAAAGCCTGCCCTGGCATGGTTCTGGTGGAAACTGTCCCATCAGTACAGATCCCTCTTTTCTCCCAGTACTGGTGCCAGTGTCCCACTTACCAGAAACCACTTCACCTACACCAGTTTTTGAGACAGACATTCATCTCTCTAATCTGATTTACCCTATACCATTTGCAGGTTGCTTGAATAAAATGCAGAGATTATGAACTTCTTCTTAATTTGGTGCCAACTCCTCATACTGAGTATGCAGAGAGTGTAGGGAAATTAATGGGGCTAAAGACCAATAAGTCTCCTGGACCTGATGGAATGCATCCCGGTATATTAAAAGAAGTAGCTACAAAGATAGTGGATCCATTGTTAGTAACCTTCCAAAAATCATTAGATTCTGGAAAAGTGTTGGACAATTGGAAAACTGCCAATATAATACTTTTATTTAAAAAGTAAGGAGACAAAAAACAGGCAACTATTGTACCGTTAGTTTAACATCTCTTGTTGGGAGAATGTTAGGAAGTTTAGTATAGAAGATGTAATAGCAGAGCATTTAGAAATGTATTTGATCGAGCAGAGTCAGCATGCATCATGAAGAGAAGTCATATCTAATAAATTTATAGAATTCTTTGAGGAGGTAACAAGCTACATAGGTAAAGGGGAAGCAGCAGATGTAATATATTTGGATTTTCAGAAGGCATTTGATAAGATGCCGATGTTCTCCTTCCACTACCCAGAATGAACTAATTTCAGGTCCAAGTATAGTCTACAGGTAGGTATGGTGGAAAGCTAAATGTTAATGAACCAGGGGAAAATCAGACATAAATCAGTCCTCAGTTAGAATGTTGTGTATTCTCTTCTTGTACTTTAAAATCCTATGTCCGTGTCTTTTATGGAAATGAACTATATCACCTTGTTATGTTTAATTACACCGACTAGAAAAGGCTGCAACTGCAGTACTTTAAATTATAAGTATGAATACAGCAATTTATAATGGAAAATTTGATGGGTTGTGCATGCAGATGCAGTATTTTTAATGTATTAATAGATTTTGTAGATTAATTATTTGATTGAAGTTTAGTGGAGTTTAATATTATTCTCGTGTCCTTTTTCTGCCAACTAACAGGATATGGACTCCAAAATAAGAGGGCTTATATACGTTGAGGCTGATCTCACAGTGACTCCCATTATGGATAACCCTAAGGTAATCAGGTCAAAATTTGCTTTTATATAATGCTTTAAATGTGAGTTTTCTTAGCAATTTGCTGTTTCTTTCCATGATGATCAGGACATATGATTGGAAGCGCTTAAATAAATCCATTTTTTTGTGTAAAGGCTGTTCACTGAGAAATTTGTGTGCTTATGTTAGGAACAAGGAATTAGGAATTTGCCCTCCCACTGATGTGCGAATAAATAATTTTTTTCAAAACCGAAGAATTTGAAGTTGAGATTCTTTGTTAAGCTACAGAAAGAGAGGAATTTGTATTGTCTGTTTGTAATAATAAAGTGCCACTTTGTTATCACAGTGAAACCCCAGGGATTTAGTTCTTTTTATACCAGTGTACAAGACTCTCAGGTGTGTTTTTCAGATTCCATGCACTGATGTTCTTCCTGTTGGATATGCAGTTGGGAACAGTTTTATGGCTTTGCATAAGTTACATGAAAACAGAAGATAAAAGTCCATTGAACCATTGCAGCACATCTAGTCGAACTCTAAGAATGGTTATTTCCCTTAATATATATTGGGTCCTATCATTTTTTAATTGCTTTCAAGTAAAGCAAATGGTACATATGTTTTTCTTTGGAATAACCGAACAGATCAAAAAAAGACGATCGGCAATTCTCTGATCATGAATGTGTTTCATGCATAGTAACAATTTCTGAACACAACAGAGTTAAACATTAAGACACGCAATGCATCTGTCCGCCTGGCTGCTGTAATGGTCCTGTTGCTGATAGCTGCTGAAGGCTTTGATTTCCCTGGTCATTTTGTAGCTACACTGCTTATTCAAATCTATCATGAGATGAGGAAGGATTTCTCCTCTCAGAGGGTAGTCAATCTTTTGGGGGGTGGGGGGAGGGGGGGCATATCTCATTGTTTGCTCCCACTATTATGCACCCACTATAGCAGATATCTTCACATCCTCCTTGACCACAGGCGAGGTTCCAGAGGACTGAAAATTAGCCACTGTTATTCCCTTGTTTAAGAAAGGAAGCACAGATAAACCAGGAAATTATAGGCTGGTGAGTCTGACATCCGTGGTGCGGAGGCTCTTGGAGAAGATACTGAGGGACAGGATATATGCACAAATGGAAGAAAATGGACTAGTTAGCGACAAGCTGCATAGTTTTGTACAGAGAAGGTCATGTCTCACCAACCTGATCGAATGTTTTGAAGAGGTGACAAAGATAATTGATGAGGGCAGAGCTGTGGATGTAGTTTATATGGACTTCAGTAAGGCATGTGATAAAGTCCCACATGGCAGATTTGTACAAAAACTAAAATCACATGGGATTCCGGATGGGCTGGCTAAATGGATACAAAACTGGCTTGGTCATAGAAGACACAGGGTAGCAGTGGAAGGGTGTTTTTCAGAATGGAGACCGGTAACTACTGGTGTTCCACAGGGATCAGTCTTAGATCCCCTGTTGTTTGTAGTGTATATAAATGATCTGGAGGAAAATGTGGGTGATTTGATTAGTAAGTTTGCAGATGACACGAAGATTGGTGGAATTGCTGATAATGCTGATGATTGTGAAATGATACAACAGGATACAGATAGATTGGCAACTTGGGCACAGAAATGGCAGATGGAGTTTAATCCAGACAAATGCGAGGTGATGCATTTTGGAGGATCAAATTTAGATGTTAATTATACTGTTAACGGCAAAATCCTAAGGAACATTAACATACAGACAGATCTGCGTGTGCAGGTGCCCAAAATGATTAAGAAGGCATATGGCATGCTTGCCATCATCGACCGTGGCATAGAATACAAAAGTTGGCAAATCATGCTGCAGCTATATAAAACCCCTGTTAGGCTGCATTTGGAGAATTGTGTGCAGTTTTGGTTGCCACATTACCAGAAGGACATGGAACTTTGGAGAGAGTGCAGAGAAGGTTCACCAGGATGTTGCCCGGTCTCGAGGGCATTGGCTATAAGGAAAGGTTAAAAAATCTAGGATTGTTTTCACTAGAGAGGTGGTGGTTGAGAGGAGACCTGATAGAGGTCTACAAAATTATGAAAGGCATAGATAGGGTGAATAGTCAGAGGCTTTTTCCCAGGGTTGAAATTTCAATTACAAGGGGGGAAAAGTTTAAGAGAGATGTGCAAGGAATGTTTTTCATGCAGAGAGTGGTAGGAGCCTGGAATGCACTGCCAGAGGAGGTGGTGAAAGCAGGCACGTTGGCGTCTGGATGGTTACATGAATAGGGAGGGAATAGAGGGATATGGGCCAAATAAGGGCAGAAGGTTTGTTTTTTAGTTTAGTCAGGGCATGATGATCGGTACAGGCTTGGAGGGCTGAAGGCCCTGTTCTTGTGCCGTACTTTCCTTTTGTTCTTTTTTGTTCTATTAGCGTGGTTGCAGGAATTACCAGAGGAAGACATATTTAGATACCATTTGGCTTGGGGTTCCATTTGAGATATTTTCATCAGCGTTTAATCCGTTAGATTTCCACTTACCTGAGGTTTCCATAATGCAATGAAACTATTTGACTGTCACTGGCAGTTTTGTTCATGATTGGCAGGACATGATTCCCATGTTTGAGGAGGTTTGGTCCCCAAACTTGTAGTGCACAGGGCCACCAACTACTAGGCAAAAATGGAATATTGGCAGACATTTCATGCTGAGCTGAAATATAAACAGAAAACTCAAGAACAAAGGGCTTGATGATTGTAAGAGGTCTAAAATTAGATCGCAAATTAACCATTGATACCAGTTGTGGATATCATGTCTAATGCTTGGCTTCTTAATGCATTAACCCTTCTTGTTCTGAATGATGCAGTACATGGCTAGCAGGAGAATTTAAAACTGGGATAACTCACTCTAATTTAGAATACATCATTGAAATATAACTCCACCAAACCTTTTCTGTGAAAACATATTCAAAATAACTAAAGCTAACTGTGTAGCCAGTTGTTCATTGAAGGCATTGAAAACTGTCCGATGACTATTTTATTCTGAAGAATATAAACTGTAATTTGAAGTTGAGGAGCAAGGTTCATTTGAACTCAGTGAATTAGTAACATAGCGAAGTAGGAATTGTGTTAAAAACAAATCAAACAATGAATGATTTGAACTGAACAGCTTTAAGTTGAAAACTAGAGTGCATGGTAATTAGGGCTTAATAGGATAGAATACCTTGGTGTAATTTGTTTTAGATGTTTTATTGTTCAGCCAGTAAGTCCATAATCTACTATTTACTGTATTTCTTTCTGTTGTAAAACATTGCAGTCTTAAACTGTAAGCTGCCCTTATAAACATATTTTTCTGTGCATTTTTTGTTACAGATATTGAAACCAACACCCATGAAGTTTGATGTGAAAACATTAAGTGTTCCAGCCTATTCAGGTAGCTGTTAATAAAAATTTGATAGAAACATGAAAAACGGAGATAATAAGATTGGAGTGAAGATAGAATCATGTAGTTTTGGTACTGCAGTGGGAGTGAGGTTTGAAACTTAGCTCAAGTTGATCAGTAGTTTTTGGATTATATGTTCAACCTGACTGAGTTGCTGGGGTGAAGGAGTGATATTGATGACAAAGGAATGAAACTCAATAACTCTTGAAATCGAGACAACAAGGTGCAGGGCTGGATGAACACAGCAGGCCAAACAGCTTGAAATCTATTGGTTTAGCTGGCTTAATTGAGAACTTTTAATTCAGTCTGTAACTTAATGTTGAACAGAAAGTCTGTCTCCCTGAACGCTGTGAGATGGAGGCAATGGTGGAGACTGCAGGCATAGCATATCAAGTCAACATGCAGTTTCAGATAGACACCAAAGTGCCAGTCAATATCATGAACTTCACAGACCTGTGCAAAGTGAGCCAACATGGTAAGCAAAAGATTAAACCAGTGATAGTAAGATTGTGCCTATATTATTGCACCATACTTGTCTCAAGAGGACAGAATACTTTGTCAGCCCAAAGCAGTTACAAGAATAAAGATCTGGAATTCCAGATCATAGATGGTAAGCAAAAACCACTCAGTTGGAGCAGCACTGGTAACCTTCAATCTAACAAAAGCGATTTAAAATGTAAAACTGAAAGGACACAGACTTGATTGAGTTTTTTGAGGATGTAACCGAAAGGATTGATGAGGGTAGAATGGTAGATGCTGTTAACTTGGACTTTAGTAAAGCCATTGATAAGGTTCCCCATGGTAGACTAATTAGTAAAGCTCGATCATATGGAATTCAGGGTGAGCTTGCCAACTGCATACAAAATTAGCTTTAAGGTAGAAGACAGAGGGTGGTGGTGGAGGGTTGTTTTTCAGACTGGAGGCCTGTAGCCAGCGGTGTTCCACAGGGATCGGTACTGGGTCACCATTTCAACAATCACAAATTATTTACCACCTTTCAAGTTGACTGAACCAAATTGTTATGTGTAGAGTGATTCGTAAGAGTCAGGTGATATCGCTACAGTGACCTTGAATACTTGTTTTGGACAATTTCTTCTAGTTATTCCCTTGTGTGAAAAATGATTCGGCTCTATTCAGTGAGAACACTGGTTTCCCCATGCTGGACATGCCTCCTTTTTGTGTGATGTCTCCTGCCGCATTTTCATTCTGTTTTTATCCATGATTGTTCCTGCACTTTGGAACTAGAGTATCTATCAACATAATGTGAGGCTTGGTTTTTCCTGCCATGTATATGCTCTAGCTGCTAATTTACAACCCCAGCATTTCTACATGAGTTAATTGCTTTCCTGAAAGTCAGTTTCTCCTCTCAGTAGCTGTACTCTCAATTTGGGATCTTTGTGTCTAGTAGATTGGATCTATGTCTGGATTACATGTTGCATCAATTTCTGTTCTAAAGGTCTCAGTAAAAAGTTATCCAGAGATACAGTAAGTAATGCAGGGCAATAATTCCATCGATGTATTGCTGTTAGCATTTGCAACTAAATTCCTGTATTGGCTATTTTGTTGAAATTGATCACACATTTGAAAATTGAAATTTAGCTGGTTAGAGCCATCTGTAGCAAAAGGAAGGTAATTGTCATTGTCATTGTTGGAGGTCAATCATCTCAGCTCCAGGACATTTCTTCAGAATTTTCTCAGGGTTGTGTCTTTTGGTAGTTCAGCAGTTACCACTGCTGCTTCACAGCGCCAGGGACCTGAGTTCAATTCTACCCTCAGTGACTGGCTGTGTGGAGTTTGCATGTTTTCCTCATGTCTGTGTGGGTTTCCTCCCACATTCCAAAATGTGCAGGTTAGATAGATTGGCCATGCTAAATTGCCCATAGCGTCCAAGGGTGTGCAGGCTAGGTACATAAGCCATGGGAAATGCTAAGCTGCGTGAATAGGATAGAGGGGTAGGTCTGGATGGGATGCTTTTCCATGGGTCAGTGTGGACTGGCTGGGCCAATGGCCTGCTTCCACACTGTAGGGATTCTATGGTTTTCTGTAGAGATAAGTGCAGTTGATTTGGTTTCAATAGGAATAATTGCCAGAACAAAGTTTGGCTGGGTGCCCCTCCATCCGCATCTTCTTTAACTTGTGACATGGGATTTTTGTTTAGCCATTATCAGAACAAGTTGTTGGAGCGTAAATCTGATCTTAGAATTGCTTCTTCAACAATACAGAACACCCTCCATTATTGTTTGAATCTGAAAGCTTCTGATTTGGAAGTGAGGATACTTAGCCTTGGCTTAAGCTAATGTTAATGGGAGCTCTGAGCCACTTTGACTTGTTCCAACTAATTTGACCATTTCTCATTGATCCCTGCCTATCTATATTTGTTACTTCTTTCCTTGTTTGTGTCCTTTCCCTATTTCAGTTGGACACAAGAGCTAGTTAATGTGAGAGAAAATAAAACTTACTTGCCACTGAAGTGCTTACAGTTTTTGGCTCAGACCACAATTATTGTATTGAATAAGCAAACTGGCAGAAAATACCCCTAAAGCTAGTTATTGAATAGTCTGCTTTACAATTCCCCTTTGTGTAGATTTGCATGAAAAACTAGTGGATTTGTCTTTCATAAAGTGAATCAAAACACTTTGGTAATGTTTCTTATTATGGAAGACATGTTACTTGATCAAGCTGTGAGCGAAGGTCCCTTTCCAAACAAAGAAAAATTTTGCTCCAGTCAAATTATATATTCCTAAATTATATTTTATTACCCATCCCAGCAGAAGCACTGATCACATCTTATTTATATTTGTTTCCCTCTGACACTACCTAAATTTATGATCACAGTTTCTATAGATGGGAAGTATGGATAAAATAATTTTGAATTCCTATTACTGCTCAATGGCAATTTTATATGACTCAGACTAACATCCACCACATTTAGATGACTGTGGGACATTTTTAGATCCTGAGCTTTCAGAAGAGCAATTGGTATGTGTTCCACAAAATTACAAACAGAAAACCTTTCAGGGACAGACAGTGAGCAGCTATTTTTCTTCGTTTGCTACCAATTCTTTAGATACTTTCTCATCAACCTATTCATGGATATTATGACACACTCCTGGAGCAGGTGAGGCATAAAACTGGTCCTTCTTGCTCAGAGGTAGGCCACTATCACTGCATCACTAGAGCCCTAATGAATAACTATTCAACAATTTGAGCAATTGAGTGGTCAGCTGTCAGTTAGCTGTTGATCATATTAACTTCACAGCTTTTTGTGTTTTTCTTTGGTGACAAAGCTTTAATATATTTTGGATGGTAGCCTTAATAGTTAAAGAATGCTTTAGGGCTGCCCAAGCAAACCATTATGTTGTAAAGTTTAAAAAGAATGTCATTGTGGCTTGCTAAATTGCAGCTGAGAAACTGGTATCCCTAAAGGGACAGGACTGGACCAATTTTATACAACAGCTGTGCTCATTGATTGAGGCTGGAGAGAAGACATCAGGGACTCCAAGAGCTAAGTTGAACTTGATATGCTATCTTTGTTCAGTGACCAGTCACAAAGATGTTGCTACAAGACTAATCAACTCACAACTGGTAAGTGACAAATTCTTCAATGTTTAATGACTGACTGCAGAGACCAAGCATTCCATTAGCATGTCAGATGAATTCTTAGAATTATGACTTTATTTTCTACTTATGATAACTGGCAGATGACCACTGCATATCTGTGACTCTGTCATGGTAGACCTTGATTTTGATTGAGTTCCAGGAGCTGGACAAAACGGTTTCCCTGTATTGCTGGCATTTTGATTTTTAAATCCACTGCACATCTCCTACAGGCTTATTGAGAGAGGCGGTGGCCAAGTCGTGTTATCGCAGGACTGTTAATCCAGAGACTCAGATAACATTCTGGGGACCTGGGTTCGAATCTGAATTCAATAAATATATGGAATTAAGAATCTAATGATGACCGCGAATCCATTGTCAATTGTTGAAAAAACTCATCTGTGCACCAATGTCCTTCAGGAGAAGGAAACCGTCATCTTTACCTATTCTGGCCTACATGTGACTCCCAACCCACAGCAATGTGGTTGACTCTTAACTGCCCTCTGGACAATTAGGGATGGGCAAGAAATGCTGCCTAGCCAGCGATGCCCTCATCCCGTGAATGAATAAAGAGGGAAAACAAAATTTAGTTGCAAGAAATTTGGTTCTTTAGCTGTAGGAGTATTTGAAAGCAGCATGGTCCTTCTTCCAATATCTAGTGCAATGATCAGATTGAAAGGTGTTACTTACTTCATATTTGAAGACAATAACCTGATAAAGAAATAGCGTCATAGAGTCATACAGCATAAAAAGCTCTTCGGCCCAACTAGTCCATGCTAAACAGGCTTCCTAAATTTAACTATTGCCTGTGTTTGGCCATATCCCCCTAAAACTTTCCTATCCATGTACCTATCCAAATGCCTTTTCAATGTTGTAATTGTATCTGTCTTTAACACTTCCTTCTGGCAGCTTGTTTTATATAAGCACCACCCTCTGTGTGAAAAAGTTACTTGTCAAGTTCCTTTTAAATCTTACCCCTCTCACCTTAAACCTATGCCTTCTAGTTTTGGACTCCCCTACTCTAGGGAAAAGACCCTAGCTATTCACCCTGCCTATACTCCTCATGATTTTATAAACCTCCATGTGGTCACCCTGCTCAACCTCATACACTCCGGGGAAAAAGTCCCAGCCTATCCAGCCTCTCCTAATAACTCAAACCTTTCAGTCTCATAAGAATCCTTGAAAATCTTTTTTTCATCCTTTCCAGTTTAATGACATCCTTCCTATAGCAAGGTGACCAGAATTGTACACAGTACCCTAAATGTGGCCTGACTGGTGTCTTGTACAGTTGTAACATGATGTTCCAATTCCTGTACTCAGTGCTCTGACAGATGAAGGCAAGCCTGTCAAATGCTTTCTTCATCACCCTGTCTACCTGTGATGCCACTTTCAATGAACCGTGTACCTGCACCCATCAATCTCTCTGTTTGACAACACTCCCCAACGCATAAGTCCTGCCCGGGTTTGTCTTACCAAATTGCAACACCCTGCATTTCTCTAGGGTAAACTCTTCTAGCATTCCTCATCCCAGTGGCCCAGTTGATCAAGATCCTGTTGTATTCTTAGATAACCTTCTTCACTGTCCACTATACCACCAATTTTGATGTCATCCGCAAACTACTAACTATGCCTCCTATGTTTTCAACCAAATCACTTAAAATAATGACGAACAACAGTGGACCCAGTGCTGATCCTTGCGATACACCGCTGGTCTCAGGTCTCCAGTCTGAACAACAGCCTTCGACCACCACTGTCTCCTATCATCAAGCCAATTTTGTATCCAGTTGGCTAGCTCTCCCTGTATCCCATGTGATCTAACCTTACGAACCAGTCATGCAGAACCTTGTCGAAGACCTTGCTAAAATCCATGTAAACAACTTCTGCTGCTCTGCCTTCATCTATCTTCTTCATCACCTCTTCAAAAATCTCACTCAAATTTGTGAGATATAATTTCCTACACAAAAAGCATGAGGACTATCCTTAATCAGACCTTGCCTTTTCAAATGCCCGCAGGTCCTGTCTCAGAATCCCCTTCAACAACTGACGTTAGGCTCTCCAGTCTGTAGGTCCCAATCTTTTCCCTGCAGCCTTTTCTTAAATAATGACACAGCATTAGTCTTCCAGAACCTCACCCTTCACTGTCAATGATATAAATATGTCTGCTAGGGCCCCTGCAGTTTTTTCCCTAACTTCCCACAATGTCCTGGAATACTTGATCAGGTCCTGGGGATTTATCTACCTTTTGTGTTTTAAGACCTCCAGCACCTCCTCTTCTGCAATGTGGACCCTTTTCAACACATCACTATTTATTTCCTTGAGCTCCTTCGCTTCCATGCCTTTCTCCACAGTAAAGACTGGTGAGAAATATTCATTTAGGATCTCACCCATCTCCTGTGATTCCACACATAGATGCCCTCATTGATCTTTAAGCCGCCCTATTCTCTCCTTAGTTACTCTTTTGCTGTTAATATACTTCTAGAATCTCTTTGGATTCTCCTTTGCCTTATCTGCCAAAGCTATCTTATGCCCCCTTGTTGCCTCTTAAATGTATTCCTACACCCGCTATATTCCTCAAGGGATTCACTTGATCCAGGCTGACTATATTTGGCATATGCCTCCTTCTTTCCCTTGACCAGAGCCTCAATATCGCTAGTCATCCAGTGTTCCCGATCCTGCCAGCTTTGCCCTTCTCACTAAAGGGAGCATGCTGGCCCTTAACTCTTGTTTTCTCGCTTTTGAAAGCCTCCTACTTGCCAGATGTTCCTTTACCTGAGATCAGCCTCCCCCAGTAAACGCTTGAAAGTTCTTCTCTAATACCATCAAAATTGGCCTTGTTCTAATTTAGAATTTTAACTTGTGGACAAAACCTAGCCTTTTCCTTAAATATTTTAAAACTAATAGAATTATTGTCACTAGTCCCAAAGTGCTCCCCCACTACCACCTCAGTCACTTGTCCTGCCTAATTTCCCAAGAGGAGGTCAAGTTTTGCCCCTTGTCTAGTAGAGCAATCTGCATATTGATTGAGAAGGTTTTCCTAAACATTCTACTTTAAATTCCTCCCTGTCCAAACCTTTAATTCTATGGCAGTCCCAGTCTATGTCTGGGAAGTTAAAATCCCCTACTATTACAACACTTTCTTACATCTATCCTAAGCTATCTGCGATCTCTCTACATTTTGCTCCTCAATTTCCGGCTACTACTTGGGCCTATAGTACCATCTCATCAAAGTGATCACCCCCTTCTTATTTCTCATTTCCACCTATATAGTTTCACTAGATGTTCCCTCAGGAACATCCTCTCTAATTACTGCCGCAATTTTTCCCTAATCAAAAACACCACATCCCATCCTCTCTTATCTTTCCTTCTATCCTCCTATAGCATCTGTACCCTGGAACATTGAGCTGCCAATTCTGACCCTCCTTCAGCCATGTTTCTGTAATGACTATGACATTCCAGTCCCATGTACCTATTCCTGCCCTGAGTTCATCTGCCTTACCTGCCAGGCCTCTTGCACTGAAATAATGCAGTTTAATTCATCAGCCTTCACTTGTTCCCAGCCAAGCTCTTGCCTGCCATGTCTATTTAATTTGCTCTCTTTTAACTGCTGTACTGGCCTCAACCTTTTCTTTTGTCTCACTATGTTTAGGGACCCACCCCTCTGCCAGACTAGTTTAAACCCTCCTGAGTAACTCTAGCAAACCTCCCCACCAGGTTATTGGTTCCCCCACACCCCCACCCAGTTCAGGTGCACTCTGTCCCTCTTGTACAGTTCACCTCTGCCCCAGAAGAGATCCCAAAGATCCAAAAATCTGAATCCCTGCCCCCTGCACCAGCTCTTCAGCTATGCATTCATCTGTCCTAACCTCCTAATCCTGCTCTCACTAGCATGTGGCACCAAGAGTAATTCAGAGATTACTACCCTTAAGGACCTTCTTCTTAACCTCCTGCCTAACTCTCTATATTCACTCTGCCCTTTTTCTACCTATGTCATAAGTACCAATGTGTACAATGACCTCAGGCTGCTTACACTCTGCTTTGAGAATTTGCTTCAACTGCTCTGAGATGTCCTTGACCCCGCACCAGTGAGGCAACACACCATCCTGGAGTCTTGCTCACGACCGCCGAAACACCTATCTGTGCCCTTGACTAGAGAGCCCCCATCACAATTGCTTACTTGGACTTTGCCTTACACTGCCTTACAGTCATGGTGCCAAAGAATTGGCTGCTGCTATTTTCCCCTGAGAAGCTATCCTTCCCAGCAGGATCCAAAACAGTGTATTTGTTTGAGAGAGGGATAGCTACAGGAGACACCTGTACTACCTGCCTACTCTCCTGGCTGTCACCCATCTACCTGACTGAACCTGCGGTGTGACCAATTGCCTGAAGTTACCTTCCATCACACTTTCTGCCTCCTGTATGTCTTCAGGGCGTCCAACTGTCGCTCCAACTGTTCTATGAGCATGAAATTTGTGCTTTCATTCCTACTGCAGACTTGATCTTTTTTTTTTGCTGCATGGGATCTGGATATTGCTGACAAGACCAGCATTTGTTGTCCATTTGGAGAAGGTGGTGGTGAGCCACTGCCTTGAACTATTGAGGGCCGTCTGCTTCAGATACATTCACTGTGCTGCTGGGAAGGGAGTTCCAGGATTTTGATCCCATGATCGTGAAGCATCAATAAGCAACATATTTCAGAGTTAGTTCCCATGCATCTGTTGCCTTTGTCCTTCCAGGTGTTGGAGGTTGTGAGTTTGGAAGGTTCTGGCTGAGGAGTGCTGATGAGTTGCTGCAAAGCATCTTGTGCATGGTACACAGTATTGCCATTGTGTGCTGATGGTGAAAGGAGTTCATGTTTAAGTTGACGTTTGGGGTGCAGTTCAAGCAGCTGCATTGTACTGGGTGGCTCTGAGCTTCTTGAGTGTTACTGGAAACGTAGTAGCTAGCATTTATGTTTACTGAGTCCACAGAGGCATTTGTATTATGAACAC